GACCTCATGGTTTAGGGTTTAGGGTTTGGGGCCTTATTTACACATGTTTTAGGGTTCAGGGCTTAGGGCTGTGAATTCCGGGTTCAGGGTTCAGTGTTTAGGGGTTCAAGGTTTAGGCTTTAGCCCCACGCAGTACTGTCAGATCATGGCAGTACTACAAACTCACAGAATTCACGATAGCCGTACACATCCAATACCGACATATACAAAACTCTTATTTGTCATAATGGTGGTATACTTGTAAGATTACTCATGATAGTACAAATTAGGAGGATTAACAACTATAGAAGGCACAGTAATAATAGCAGGCAATGTCATACTAGCAACGCTGGTGATATCAGTGTTCATAGTAATACGAGTAATACGTGTCATAATCGCAATACAAGTACTTATGGTTCAGACCATAGTAATACGAGCTATATAATACAATCGCAATTTTACCCTAAACCCTGAACCCTAAACCGTAAACCCTGAATCCTTCAACAGTTAGACCGAATCCCCAATTTCGAAATTTCGAAAAACCAAGCGCTGAACTCTAGACCCCTCTTTCCTTTTCATAGCAGCAGTGAGAAGAGGAGCCCTCAACAAAAACGACAAAACCCTATAATATAGAAGTCTAACTAATTACCAATGGTATTTGTTTTTTTTTAGGGGGGGTTCCTTATTATTATTATTATTATTGTTATTATTATTATAGTATAAGGTACTCCAAAAACCCTCCTAATTTTTTAAGGTCCCTACATTAAGTCCTAAACCCTCTTTTTTAAGTAATCTGCGCCCGGCGCTTTGGAGGCTCATCGGACACTTGCGTCAGTGCCGGATGAACATGGCCCACCGCCGAGTGACACTGAGGGTTTAGGGTTTAGGGTTTAGGGTTTGGGGGGCTTTGGGTGGGTGGGTGGGGGTTTATGGGTTTATGGGGCTTAGGATTTAGATGGTTTAGGGTTCAGGGTTTAGGAGTTTAGGGCTTTGGGTTTAGGTGGTTGAGGGTTTAGTGAAAGGGGTTTGAGGTTCTTTGGGGGGTTAGTTTCCCCAAGGCTCCATGTACCTATATAGTATATACTTAGGCCATAAACCCTAAACCCTACATAGGAAACCTATGAAGGCCGAAGTATACACTATAATATACGTGCATGGCGCCTTTGGGATTAAGGGGGTTGGTAGGGTTATGGGAGTTTACACTAGGGTTTACAGAGTTTGGGGTTGAGAGGGCTTAGGGCGCTTGGTGTTCAGGGTGTTTGGGTTCAGGGTTATTTAAGGTTGGGTTTCGGGGTTTGGGGTTTGGGGGTTTACGGTTTTGGGTTTTAGGGGTTTGATGCTTGATTGGTCCATTGGTAGAGTGCTTTATGACTTTAGCCCTCCGATATTCCTTGCAGATGCTTATGTGTTGCTTTGGTGTAGGGCATAGCTGTAGGTTTAGAGTGTGTACTCCTGGTTTTTGTCCCAGCCAGGAACAAAGAGACTACTGTCATCGGTTCCCTGACCCGGAAACCCTAAACCCCTCAACCCTAAACCAGCATGATGCCCAGTTCTTGGCTGGCTCTCCGACGATCACGTGATTCTTTCACAAGTGTGTGGTCCTGTCGATCCAGTGATGACCAGATTTGGTGACAGTGACGCCACCCCTCACAAAGAAACCGACATGCTCAACCGCATGTCCCATGAGGGGTTGCGATAGGCTCAACCCTAACCATGACAATCGGATTTCCCAAGCGCCTCAATCCTCACAGCTTCTGTTCAACACCTTAAACCCTCTGCCCAAAGCCCGTCTCAAGGTGCAAACTGCTGAGCAGTATGAGTTCCTCCATCGAGCGCTACCTTTGCTGACGAAGCAGATGCGAGCCGCTAAGTAAGTAAACGCTTTGTACGGGCACTGTGGTCATTCCACCTCGAAAACCAATGGATTGTTGCCGCGTTTATCGTTATGTTACCTTATGAACACGTATATGCATACATGTACATATGTATAATTATAAAAGTAATTATGAAGGTTTAATCTTGTTTCCCTAGAAATTAAAGCTTTGAACATTTTTCGGTGTGCAATGTTACGAAGGTTTCATGGCTCTGAGGTCCGCGATCCAAAGCCCTATATTCGCGAGCCTTAGTACCTTTTATCAACGATTCCTATGTAGTAGCCACCAAACCCCACACCCTAAAACCCTAAAGCCCCAGACCCTAAACCCTACACCCTTGAGCCCTAAACCATAAAACCCTAAACCCTAAACCTTAGAATAAGAGAGGTTCTTGAACCGCCTGGAGTACCTAAGCAGATCGCTACACTGCATTTCCGAAAACAAACCTAAACCCTGACATTTTCCCTGAGGGTCCATCTACATTACAATTATGGAATCAGGTCCCAAAAGACCATCCTTGGTATGGGTTTTTGGGGGCCTAATTCCATAATACTAGTACATATGGACCCTATTGGTTTACATCCAACAATAATAGAGCTCTGATACAGCCCTAAACTCAAAGCTCAAAACCCCACACCATACCCTAAACCTCAAAGCCTTAAATTTCCAAACCCTAAACCCACCCTAAACCCTAAACCCTAAGCCCTGAACCCAACGCCCTCAACTCCCACTTGGAGATTCGTGGGACTGGGTTGCTTATACTACGGCTCCCACCATTCAGCGTCTATCCCAGGTTCTTTTGTTGTGTACAAAGAAGATGCAACTGAATAGGTGTATCAATACAGGGGTCGTAGTAAATCGAACACGGCTAATGCAAGCCCAAACCCTCAAGCCTCGAACTCAAAGAGCCCAATACAGCTTAATACAGAAATAGAGCTTACATTATAAGGGGCTTCATATTAAGATTAAAGCTATATTCCCTATTTAAGGGGTATTAGGCTCTGTGGGAACTCTAAATTGCTGAATTTTAAGAGACAGAATGACCACAAAGCCCCAATTTCCACCGAGCTGCTGCCGAAGGATGAAAAAGGTACGGCTAAACAAGGCGATCGTGTTGACAGAGTAGTGCTGTTCGTGTTGTTGTCGTAAAAGAAGCTAAGGATCCGGCTTAGGGTTTAGTGTTTCATTAGGTTTCGCGGTCGCCAAGACCCTAACTAAACCCTAAACCCAAGCTGCAACTTCAGCAGCAGCTTAGAAAAGCCCCGAAGTATCGAGCATCCTCGATGTGGCGGCAGCAGCTGCTGTGCTGAACAGCTCTGACCTTCGGAGATCTTCCCAACGTGTAGGGTTTAGGGTTTAGGGTTGACGATGTCATACTGTTTCTAGACTTTTGAGTTTATTTATAAGGTTCAAACCTTCGAGCGCAAATTTACAGAGTTCAGGGTTTCGCTCATACCCTAAACGTAGCCTTATTATAGAGAACTTTTCGCTCGCGCAACGGAGCTCCATGAAAGCCCCATAGATAGCTCTAAACCCTAAACCCTAAACCCTAAACCCTAAACCCTAAACCGTTACAGGACCCTGGATGCTTGATGCTTTGGCTCGTGCACAGCGGACCCCCGCTGCAGTCACTACAGCGCTGGGGAGGAGCAAAAAAGAATCGCTGGCAGCCACGCGACTGGCACATCCGAGACCTTCAAGCGTCAAGCCGGAACGCCTAAAACCCTAGGCCCTAAACCCTAAAACCCTAAAACCTTAAACCTTAAACCCTAAACCCTAAACCCTAAACCCTAAACTCTAAAACCCTATTCCCTAAACCCCTAAACCCTAAACCCTAAACCCTAAACCCTAAAGCCCCAAACCCTAAACCTCATAAGGGAGCTGGAGGCAGCTAAAGGAATGCGTATAGGGGACAGGCCGTCCAGTCAGACTGCACTTCGGAGAAGGGAAACTTGAAGTTTACGGGTTTAGGGTTTAGGGTTATCTGGAGGACAGACCAACCCTAAACCCGAATATGCTCTTCTGGGATACAGTTGGAGCTGAAGATGGATGAGGGCTCTATCTCGATGTCCTCTATCGACGATTGCTGGTGCCCTACACTCGAACCCCTCAACCTGCCCAAGAACCGATCCGTAACCCCAGACACTCTTGGTCGTCTGCTCCTAACGCGGACGCAGCTCTAACCCTAAACCCTAAACCCTAAGAGTCCTAACCCCTAAACCATGAACCTAACCCTAAACCCTAAACCGAAGAATCCTAACCCCTAAACCATGAACCTCGAAGCCGCATCTGCTCAGAATGGCGTAGTCGAAGCCCCAGTTGCCCAAAGCCTAAACCCCGAACCTCTGCGAGCTAGCCTCAGAGGTCGATGTGCCTATACTTTGGGCCGAAAGTACCTGTAACACAGAGGGGTACTTTAAGGTCATGCAATGTATGTACCTTGGGCCCAAAGTACCTAGCTAAGGAGCACTCTTAAGGCCAATGTACCTATACCCTAAACCCTAAACCCTAAACTGTCATGTATATGCTAGATGGGGTACTGCACGGGCCCTTACCCTAGGTCTCCAAATCGGTACTATCGATGGACTTCAGGCCCGAGAGTCCCTAAACCCTAAACCCTAAAACCCTGATGAAGGGAATTAGGGTTTAAGGTTTAACGGTTTTGGATTTAGGGTTTAGGCCTAAACCCTAAACCCTAAACCCTAAACCCTAAACCCTAAACCATATATACACCCTAAATGGTTTGTATACTTGGAGCCCTCGGGCTGAAAGCTCTTATAAACACCCTTAGCCCTACCTTAAGAACCCAAAATCTACTTTTTTGCAGGGTCCCTATAAATCCCATATTAGGGTTTATAATAAGAACCTACAAAACAGTGGGTTTTGGGTTCTTAAGGTACACCCTGAGGCCTAACTCGAAGACCTGTTGCATGGGCGGTTTTAGGCTACTCTGTTGATGGTATAAACTCTGCATTACGTTAAGGGCCCGAAACTATGGGAATTATCGTATATTCCCTATTATGGTTGATGCAGGCTTTGTATCATCAACCCTAAACCCTAAACCCCTAAAGCCTAAACCCTAATCCCTAAACCCTATCATGTATATCATCAGCCGTAGGATTCTAGGAACTACGCCTTCGGCGGCAGGTGATGATTCCCAGATCGAGCACCCTGAGGCAGCTCAAGGAAAAGTCTCGGGCTCGGAAACCGTTAGGCTCTAGGCCTGTAATTTATTGGAGGCCTTGATAATGACCAATATTGTTTTGGGGAGTTCTTTACTATAGATATAGTATCATGGGCGCCAAAACCCTATTTTAACTGTTAAGACCCCTACATTAAAAAGGGTTTTGGGCTTAGGGTTGAGGTGTGAAAAGGTTTTCTTTCTCCGGACAGGGGTTCAGGGACTGAGCTCCCCAGGTAAACTCAACTCGTAAATGTCAGGGCCTTAATAATTACTATTGTGGGGCTTCTTATCATACTTATAATATACCCTTAGTATATTATTTTGGGGGTTCCTTATTATCATGATAATATAATATACCCCCAAACCCTATTCTGATTCTTAAGGCCCCTACATTAGGTTGCCTGATCTTACGGTCGGGACGTGGGTATCCACTTGAGAGCTGTGCAGGGCTTCAAGTTGACAGGACTTGGGTATATAATATAGAAGCCTAAAGAATTGCCTAAAGTATTTTGGGGGTTCTTTGGGGGGTTACTTCTTATGATTGCAATATAACATACCCCCAAACCCTATTCTAATAGTATTTTTGGGGTTCCTTCTTATAATTGCAGTATAATATACCCCCCCTCCCAAAAAAAAAACTATTCTAATTACTAAGGCCCCTACATTACCCGACAAGCCCGGAGCATGGAGCTTGCAAGTTGGGGTTTGGGATTCAAGATGTGTCGAGAAAGCCTGGGTTCCATGATGTGGCGCGGTTTAGGGTTTAGGGTTTAGGGTTTAGGCATCTGGGGTTTAGGGGTTTAGGGTTTAGGGTTTAGGGTTTAGGCATCTGGAGTTATGTTGAGGCTGTTGAGGTGCTTTGCGGTTCCGGAGTAAGTATGGATAGATGGACGGATTGATGGATGTATGGACGGATAGATGGATGGACGGATGGATGGATGGATGGATGCACGGACGGATGGATGGACGGACGGATGGATGGATGGATGTAGGTATAAGCCTGCATGGAGGAACGGATGTCTGCATTTATGTACCTGCGTATGTATGCAGAAAGGCAGCTAGACAGACGCGTATTTAGACAGGATATGACGTGCCTGCGAGTACATATACATGTATGTATACATATGTATATATATATATATAAGAAGTTACCCTGGTTGATACAGAGTCTAAATATTGCTGTCCTTATTGAACCTTAAACCCTAGCCACATATCCTAAAACCTTACACCCGAAGCTGGCCTTGTCATGGTGAACTCTTCTGAACTAAACCCTACAAACCCTAAACCCTATACCCTAAACCCTAAACCCCTAAACCCTAAACCCTAAACCCTAAACCCTCAACCCCTAAACTCTAAACCCCTAAACCCTAAACCCCTAAACCCCTAAACCCCTAAACCCTAAACCCTGGACCTGTTGGGCCCCCAGGGTCGGTGAACAGCTTCGCATCGGCGCCCTCGAGGACTGAATGTGTCCAAGTGGGTGTTTTTGCGGGCAGTTTTTAGGGTTTTAGGGTTTTAGGGTTTTAGGGTTTAGGGTATAAGGTTTAGGGTTTAGAGGTTTAGGGTTTAGGGCTTAGGGTTTAGGGGCTTAGGGTTTTAGGGTTTTAGGGTTTAGGGTTTAGGGTTTTAGGGCTTTAGGCGTTTAGGGTTTAGGGGTTTAGGGCTTTAGGGGTTTAGGGTTTAGGGCTTTAGGGCTTTAGGGTTCAGTTTGGGGTTTAGCTTCTTGTGTAACCAGGACCCCCCAAGTTTAGTGAAGTTTAGGGTTTGGGGTTTAGCTTTTCTTGTAACCAGGACCCGCAAGGGCCCTTTAATAGAGCCCTTATGGTCCTGAATTGTGGGTATCTAGGGTATATTAAAGGGTAGTTGGGAAGGGTCTAGGAAGCGGCTTAGCGGCTTGATGGTGTAAGGGGTTTAGGGATTGAAGTTTATAAGGTTTAAGTTTTTTGGGGATCAGGGCTAATATAAGTCAAGCACTTCCCGGACCTTGTCCCTTCTTTTGCCTCCGGAGATTCGGACAGCTATCCTGAACCCTGAACCCAGAAGAATTCCAGCTCCTGGCGAAGTGCTGTCGCTACTCAAAGGTTTCCATTAAGGTGCCACAAAGGTAGTATAGGATTACGAAAAAGCTACCCTCAAAAGTACTATTAGAGGGTCCATAATCCGGCCATCCTGCTGGAGTGTTGAGGGCTGCGCCGGAATTTGTCTAGTGTGCTCCGACTGCTTGCTCAGAGAACCCGGAGAGTTAGGGCTCTTGAATGAGGCACAGCGTTGCACCCTTGTAGACCCCTTGACCCTACGCCGCAGTACTTTGAGCCTTGAACATCTTCCAAAACCCTGAAACCCTAAACCATAAACCCTTCTTGAAGCACAAAGCCCTGAAACCCTAACCCGAAATCTCTGAAATCCCAAGCCCTGAAACCCTAAACCTTAAACCCTGAAGCCTTGAACCCTTAACCCTGAAGCCCCTGAATCCCCCAAAACCATGCAATCCCAAAGCTTACCCTAAGGGTCCATGTACCCAAAATATTTTTATATACATTGGCCCTAAAGTACCTATATAGGGACTACATTCAGGCCAAAGTATACACTATTTCGGTACATGGAACCCTAAACCCTAAAACTCATATAGTCTTAACGTACCCTTGTAGAACCCCTTAAAGGAACCCTTAAAGGTACCCTAAACCCTAAACCCTAAACCCTAAACCCTAAACCCTAAACCCTAAACCCTAAACCCTAAACCCTAAACCCTAAACCCTAAACCCGAACCCTTTGGGGCACATGGACCCTTAGGGGAATGCCCTGATTTTGCTCGCTTGTTCTCCGGTGCTCAGGTTGGCGCCACAGAAGTCGGTGAGTCTAGATCCCTAAGGGTCCATGTACCCAAATAGAAGGACATAAGCCCTAAAGTACCCAAATAGGGACTACATTAAGGCCAATGTTCTACTATTTGGGTACATGGACCCTTAGGGGATGTTCTTTCTAGGGTTTAGGGTTTAGGGTTCAGGGTTTAGGGCTTAGGGCTTAGGGTTTAGGGTTTAGTTTAGGGTTTTGGGTTTAGGCATTAGGGTTTTGAGGGTTTGGGATGTCTG